TGAGCTAAATAAACCTTTCCGGGGGCTGGTGAGATGGCTCAGTGGTCTAAAGCACCTACTTGGAGCAGGCTTGGCAAAGCACAGGGACCGCGGTTCGGTCCCCCAGCACCACATGCCAGCCAGCCCCGCCCCCTGGTGGGCTGAGCTGGCCACACACACACATATACGCACACAAATAAATAAATAAAATTTAAAAAATAAATAAATAAACCTTTCCTTCCTTCATTTTGAGTGTCGGGTATTTGTCCCAGCAATGAGAGAAGAGTAACTAAGACAGTCAGGGAGCACCAGGGGCAGTGTCCTAAAGACCCAGGGGCCACCAGGGTGGCTGCGGAGACCCACAGGTGCCTCCCGGTGGCCTCACCACGCAGTATACAGCTCACTGCTCGGTGCCCAGGGTCTGGGTCACAGCCATGGGAGGGGGCTGTCCTGCTATGGAGGCGGGCCTTCCCAGACAGGACAGGTGGGCAGTGCTGCCCAGGGTGGGATGAGCAGGATGGCCCAGCCCTGGGGAGCCCTCTGCTCTGCTCAGAGAGGGTCTCTGGTCTACTGGGGCAGAGGCTGGGAAGCTCACATGGGGCAGGGGCGCTGTCTGCCGCTGGGGCCCCACAGCGGCAGGCAGTGGCCTAGGGGACAGCAAGCTGCCACTGGATCCTTCCAGGAGACCGGGGCACTGCTGGGGAGCCCCACGGCCTGCCTTGTGCTACTTCCTGTGCCCAGAGGGATAGGAATGAGCTCTTGGCCTGACGGCGTGGCAGGCTGATACAGGAGCCTCCACTGTGGTGGGACCAGGCTCACGGCCTCCTGAGTCGGAGTTTAGGGGCCTCAGAAGCCTCGCTCCTTAAGGGCCAAGAGAGCAACACTCCAGTGGAGTGAAGGAGGCCAGAGACGAGGTGGGATGGCCCAGGAGTCCTCTGCGGGCTGGGGACATTTGTACCCTCTCCCTGGCCCCTCTTCTTGGGTGTAGGGACGTCTGTGACTCATGACCCAGACAGGCAAGTGTCTCTGTGGAAGCCTATGCATCTTGGGCGCAGGGCACTGGGACCAGGGGGAGCAGAAAGGGCGCTCTGGGCAGCACCGGGAGAGGGCTGTGCCCTGCAGGGTGTCATGGCTGCAGCCTGAGGTAAACTGAGTTTGCTGCCAAGAACTCTGAGGGTCACCAGTGGTCAAGGATGCACTGAGCCAGGCGTGGCCACCAAAGAGCAGGGCGTACTCACCGGCACCTTCATCTTAAAGTCCTCTCTGTGGAACCTGAAGGCGATGTCTGAGAGGGTCCTCTGGAAGAATCCTGTCGGGCGAAGGACGAGGACCAGCTGCAGGTTTGCTGGGAACGATGCCTGCCAGACAGAGAGGGCTATGGTGTCCCGGGGCAGGCGAGGCCACAAGGTTGCTTTTGCGGTGGCTGGCAGCCTGGCCACACGTGCTCGCAGATCCTGAGGTCAGGGGCTTGGCTGACTGTGTCACTTACGTTCGTTCGTCTGTGCGTTCCCAGGCCCTGCACTCACAGCAGACATCATGTGGGGACAGGGCCTTCGCGGGACAGCCGACGATAGAGGAGGCTGTCAGGGTGGCCCTGACAATAACTGTCCTCACGCAGAAGGGACTCTGGACCCAGGTGTGCACAGGAGGAGGTTGTGTAAAGACAAGGTAGACAGCAGTGACACTGCCACACCGGTGCTCCAGGCACTTGCCCCCACCGTAGGAGACCACCCTGCCAGCCCTGGGTCTCAGCTCCAGAATGGAATTGAGGACATAGGCCCTGACTGTCTAAGCTGCCCTGTGTGCAGCTCTCTGTCGCAGGAAGTGAACATCCTTGTCCACAAAACCTATCTAGACACCTGTCTGCATTGCCTAAAATCAAACAAGAGTAAGCATTGCCGAAGCGTGCACACGTGCGCACGCGTGTGTGCGCACACACACATACACACACTGGAATAGCAACATGATCTGTTTGTTACTATTCTGCCACCTACAGGAATGTGGAACCTTGGGGAAGTTACTTTACTTGTGTGTGCCTCAGTTTCCCCATGTGCAAATGGAGACAGAACCGGGCCTGGTCGCCACACCATGTTGATGGAGAAATGACCCCAGGCATGCCACATTCACATTCCTGGTGGGATTAGGGGGTCTCAGGTGTCAGCTGCCTGTCTGGTGCCTGGTCAGCATGACCCAGGACTCGAGGAAGCAAAGGGCAGGCAGCCACGTGGCTGGCTCCTCCCACAGGCAGTGGCCCCGGAGTGACCTGGGGCCCTGGGCCCTCCCTTCTTTCTGCCCCCCCCCCATGGCATGGTCAGGTAGAGGTGACCTACCCACAGTGAGCAGTGGCTGTCCTTTACCCCTGCAGCTGGGCGGGCCCAGCTGCGCTTCACATGGCGAGGACCACCTGAGGCACAGGACCTCAGGCTGCTTGGGGCCACCTGGCAGCTCGGGGACCCACACCCTTGCACTCGTGGTGACGCTGGCCACTGAGTAAGGAAGCTACCATCGTAGCAGACTCCCTGGAGGTGACAGTGACTCACGCTCTTCTCAGCTCTGTGGTTTTTCCACCTGGACTCATACCTCACAGGTCAGGTGCTGCTGGGACCTGTGGGACAAAGCCAGGCGCTGGCCAGCAGGGTTGCCTGACAATGTCCCAGAGGCCAGCTTCCCACTCCACTGGAGAGGAGAGATGGGCACACATCTCTCTGCTTTGGGGCCACACTGTGTAAGCGACTGAATCTTCGTAGTAAATAGAATAATCCTAAGATTCTAAGGGCTGGTGAGATAGCTCAGTGAGCTAAGTGCCTGCTTAGGTGTACCCAGAGACTGGGGTTCAATTCCCAGGACCGCATGCTGTGCCGGCCCCACCCCTCAATGTGCTGAGCCACCGAAATCCGGCGTGTGGTGGTGCATGCCTGTAATTCCAGCGCTGGGAAGGATGAAAACAGGAGAATCACTCTGAGTCTGAGCTGTGTAGTGAGATCCTGCACCAAATATATAAAAACAAAAAGACATAAAAAATGAAATGAAACAAAAATACTAAGATTCTAGCCAAGTGAGGAGTGTGGTGTGCGCAGACATGTGAAGCAGACAACAGCGCTGGATTCTTCCGGACACGGCGTTGGGCGGCAGGGGCAGGGCTGGGACTGAACGCAGGCCTTCGTTTGCACGCGGTTGCATCCTCCATCCCTTTTAAATTTTTTAAAATTTTGTGACAGGCTCTTGGTAAGTCACTAAGTTGCCCAGGCTGGGCTGGATCTTCCTTGCAGTCCTCCCATTTCAGTCTCCTAGAGTGCTGGGACTGTAGGCGTACACCACCATGCCCGTGCCTGGCTCTGAAATCAACCTTTGTATTAAAGGCTGAGGAAAGGTCTAAAATAACAGCTTTAATTTAAACTTTTTAAAATGTATTTAGGGGGCTGGGGAGATGGCTCAGTGGAATAAGCGCTTCCCTGGCAAGCACAAGGGCCTGAGTTCAATCCCGGGTTCCACCCAAAATAAATAAATAAATAAAACGTATTTAGGACATCTCACTATATAGATTAGACTCACAGTGATTCTCCTGTTTTCAGCCTCCCAAGTGCTGGGATTACAGGGGCACACCACCACGCCCAGTCTCAATCTCTGCCTCAGTGCGCCCCGGAGGAGGGGCTGGCATGACATGCTAGGGATTGAACCCTGGCTGCTGCACTCTGCCTAAGCAGGCACTTTAATCCACTGAGCTATTTGGCCAGCCCTAATAGCTTTGATTTAAAAATAGAAATAGACAGAAGATTGGAGTTGAGGCTATAAACAATGTGGTTTGTACTTCTGTAAATTAATCAAGTGGTCGTAAATGACTAACTTTCTACTCAACATGAAGCCATCTTGCTTACTTCCTGGGGCTGACCCTAACGGACTCAGGGACAGGAATATGATGATGAAGACCGATGGCCCTGGAGCTAGATACAGGCGCTGACTGGTTCTCAGCTGCTATTCTTAGAGACTCGGTGAGCAATCCCAAGCTCACGCAAAGCTAAGGGCGCTGTGGAACCCAGAGCGTCTCTAAGCAGCAGCCGAAATCTGGCCAGCAGACTGGACAGCCAGGTGCCCACAAACACAGAGGTGAGAGTAAAAATACTCCTGCATGCTTGTGCTCAGCGTTAGATGGACATACCTGAGTCAGCTCACAGGCTCCAGCTAGCAGGATGAGTAGGGACTTCCTGGCCCATGCGCACTGGCTGGGCGGCACACACCCAAGGACACGGTGCACCACCTGAGGTCACACAGCACACACTCTCGGGTCCCGGGGGACGAGGTGCATGTGGGATGCTGTTTACCTAACCCTGGGTGCTGTGCTGGGGTCCCTACTGCCAGGGCACGGCCCTCTCTCCTGCCTGGAGCAGCCCTGCCTGCTGGCAGCAGTGCCCATGGAGCACACCGCCCCGGCCCCGGGCTGCACAGCCACAGAGCTTGGGGCCAGAGCTGGTTCCTGTCCTCACATGGCGCACATTTCTGCAGCAAACAGGCAGCTCCTCGCACTCTGGAGGAGGAGGACTGAGGGATGCATAAGTGGCAGGGGGTGACAGCCACAGAAACAGCCACACACTGACCACTGTCACTCAGCAATCAGAAAACTCACCCAGGCACTCAGCCTGGATGGAGGACTTGGGAGAGAGGCCTCACCCACCCCAAGTACTGTCACAGAGGACCTGGGGACGATGGAGGAGAGGTGCCACCCAACCTGGGTGCATACAGATCCAGGACCTCAGGACTCTTGGATGAGGGCTTTGGCCAGGACACCAGTGGGAGCTGGCCCTGAGAAGCCAGCCTTGGGTCTCCAGACTGCAGTGCCACAGAGGGCAGGGGCAAAACCAGAACACGAACGATGAAGTGTGTCAGACAGACAGGACAGCTGACACCACGTGCCACCCTAACCAGGCTTGGGTTTTAGCAGAGATCAAATAGGCATTAAGGGTGTGCAAGGCTGCATGTGCACTGTTTGCTGGACGGCAGTGTGGCTCCAGTGGTGAAGTCCAGAGTGGACGTGGTCCATTGGCAGCCCTGTCCCTAGGCCACACCTAAGCTTTGGGGGCAAGTGGTCACCATGGCTGGGCCAGGAGACAGCGTGTGTGTGTGTGTTGTCTGACTGTTTGTGTCTCCAGGCATGTGTGTAGGGGTTTCCGTGTCTCTGCATGTATGTCCCTGAGCATGACTCTGTGTGTTCCTGTGCCTCCGTGCATGTGCATGAGTGGAGGTGTTGTGTGCATGTGCCACAGGTGCACACACACGCACACACACACAGCACCTGTGGGTCCTTAAGGAGACAGAGCTTCCTTCACGACCTCCCCAGGTGGTCTGAAGCTCTCTGGAGTGAAGCATTTTGAGGACAGGCGCCGACGTACGAGCCTCTTTTCCAGGGCCACCTCTGATGCCTCTGAGCCATAGGACAGACACCTTGTATGTGAGTAGGAGCCTGCACACCCAGGAGTGGGCTGAGGAGGGAGGGCCTGCTGCATGGAGGATGTCAGCTGGGCCGATGGGCCCAGGGCCACACCCCATGCCCTACACTCTGTTAGCAACCTGGGGATCTAGCACAGCACTGTGCAGATGAGAAGGTGGCCTGGGGCCACAGCATTTGTACCCTGAGGGCCAGGGTCCTGCAAGGTAGGAATGCAGGGGGTGCCCTGAGCCCCGGCCGCTGAAGCTCAGTGAGCGCTGGGGTATTGTAACTTTAGTGAGAAGCAGGGGCAACCTATGTCGGCAGGAAAGGCGCCTTCACAGCAGATCTCCCATCCCTTTCCTTCTGGAATGTTCTGTGTGCACCAGGTCTCCACTGACTGGGCCCTGGGCCCTGTGGTGGAGCAGGAGCTGGGCTGTAGGGACAGGAATGGCGAGGTGACGGGCTTTCTAAGTCCTTACCTGTCTAGCCATCCCTGGAAGCCCAGGGTACAGGCCAGGTCCAGGGGGCAGTGGTGAGCACCTGAGATCCACTTGCTCCCCTTGCTCTGACCTGTGTCCCGAGGTGGCTCCTGAGGGCCAAGACAGGGTCCTGGCCTCAGGCTGGCTGTGGACTGTGCAGACCCACAGCGGCCTGGTCCCACACCACCCCCACCCTTAGACTGCAGTTCCTCGTCTTCTCTCCCTTAGTGACCTGGGCCCTGCGGCGGCCCTGTGAGTGGTGGCTGTCTAGCCTGAGCCTGTACCTGCGTTCTCAGTGGTCAGCCTTCCCCAGGACAGTACCGACACTCCGCTGGCCCTTCAGCCGGCAACCCTCCACTGAGGAGCCCTCTGCTGTTGGGAAGCTCCTGTCCCTCTCTGCGCTCTCCCCACCCCTGCAGCCTGCTCCTCCCTGAGCCTAGCACCTGCACAGGGCAGGGTCCAGCAGCGGTGCCAGGCTCGGTGCCCAGGCCCTGCAGCTACTCGGTCTGGAGCTTTCCTGCTGACACAGACTGCAGCTCCGTAGGGTGCCATGCTGCCTCAGTGCTGCCCTGAACCTGCTCTGAGTTCAGCTTCCTCTTGGAAACAGCCCAGATGTGGGATCCACTCGAGTGAGGCCAGCTTGGCATCGGCACCAATCCTCCATACTGCTTGCGCACACCCAGACGGAAGAGGGGTTAGATTTTGCAGTAACAGCTACTAGTATGCACTCAGATATTCTGTGAAAGACACACCCATGGGGCATTCCACACTCCAGGGCCAGCACCTGACCAAGGGAGGCCTGGATCCTTGATTTGGTCTTGTGGTCACTGCCTCTGGGTGTGACACATCGCCCAACCAACACGGGGTCAGAACTGTCCGGGGAGACACTCCCCACTGGATACTTGTTTGGAATTAACCCAGCTCTGTTCTGGATCCGCACAGGGCGTCTGATTTTAGGAGTACTGGACTTCGGCTTCTCCCACCTCCTCTTTTTCTATTGCAGGCCAAGTTGCCAGCATCCAGCAAAGAGAAAATCCCCAGGCCCAGGGGAGCTGAGCTTAGGAGGCAGTACACAGGGTGACTAAGAGTAGCCCACAGTCTCAGGCCTCACATGAGTACAGGTCCTGCAGGAGGCGAGAAGCCCCCAGCCCAGCTTCTGCAGCGCTAGGCCCAGGCTGGACACTGGGCTCCAGTGTGGACACTGTAGCCCCAATGCCCAGTCAGCACCACTGGCTCTGAAACAGCTGTCCTGGAGGGGTGAAGTGCAGTGTCCTCTGACCAAGGGACATGTGGACAGTGCTGATGTCCTCCCAGTCCCCACTGCAGAGACTTTTGGCTGCCTGCGCTGTTCTCAGATCACCAGGTGACCCAACTGGACTATCCCCTGCCCTGCTCCTGCCCCTGCCCCTGGGCCTGGTCTGCTCACCCTCCACTCCATGTTCTCAAGCTCCTGGCTGATCCACTGCCCAGCTCTCCTGGAGCCCCAGCCACTGGAGGGCGGCCCACCTTGGAACAGCAATGGGCCTAGCATCCGGGGTCCTGCCCCTGCCCAGAGAGGTCCCACAGCCTCCTGTGTGCCTCCTGCTGTGTGGGGCCTGGTCCGGCCGCCCCCTTGGGGCTTCTCGCCGTGTTGCGCCTGTCTCCCCAGTCTCCAGCGCATTCCCCACCTGCGGGCACAGGGATGCAACCAGCCAGTACTCGGCGGCCCAGAGTATGCTGGGTCCGTGCTGGAACCACCAGCGAGTCTGGGAACGGGAAAGGAAAGCGTCCAGAGAGAACATGGACAGTCTGCTGGGCAGATCCTGGCTTCGGCTTTCCAAACCACCCAGGGCCACTGCTCCCAGCGCTGTGCCATGGGGCAGGGCGCTCACACAGAGACTCAGACACTGCTGTCAGTGATGATCTCCACGTGACAAGCTTGAAAGCAGAGGGCAGCTGGCGTGACACGGGTGAAACTGCACTTCCACTTCACACCGGTGGCTGCAGGCTGCCCAGAGGCCTCAGGGTGTTCTCAAAGCACCACTTCCAGCTTGGCGAAGTAATTGGCTTCGTGTTCAGGGACCTTGTGTCACCTAAGCCAGGAGCAGAGCATGTGGTGACGGTACAGTGGCATGTGTGGTGTGTGTGACCTGGGTACCTTGCAGGTCTGTGGCCACAAGTTCAGGGAGGTGCCGAGGCCAGGTCTTGGCTAGGCAGTGACCTCATGTGGTGCCTCTGACGCAGAGGTGGGAGCCCAGCCTGGAGCGTGGGAAGGCCAGGACAGGTGTGTGGAAGTGTGCGTGGAGCCTGCCAGGTGGCCGCAAGGCTACTGCAGGTGGAAGCCTGGGCCCCAGGGGCACTGGACACCTGCAGCCTGACCCGGGGATCCTGACCCCACAGTTTATCACACTGCTGGTTGACAGAGGTGCTGGGTTGGCCAGGATGATGCTACTGTCACACATGTCACACCCATGTGGCATTGTGCTGGAGTGATGCACTCCAGCCTGGGACCTTGCAATGTCTGCCCAGGACGGCCCGCCCACCACAGACAGCCGTCAGGACATGGTGCCAATACCGGCTTCCCATGACTAGGTCTCAGATCTGCCCACTTGAGTCATGTGCAGAGAAAGCTACGTGTGCAGCAATGGAGACCACTACGAAGCGGCTCTGAGCAGGATTTCATGTTAGCCAGCTGGCTTTTCGTGTTTACCTGCGAGTCTGCCCCAGGCGTAGGCCCTTGTCTGGAGATGGGCAGCCGACTCTGTGAGTCACGGTCCTGCCGAGGCCTGTATTGCCCTGTGAAGTTGGGAGGCCTCAACGGGCGAGGGAAGGCCCCAGCTGAGGACTCTGGCTCCAACCCCACTGACTACAAGGGACTGCAGCTGTGGGCTCCATGCGCCTACAGAAAATGTCAAGCAAAGATAAGGAAGTTCTGATTGACATAATTTGCTACTTGGGAAAATAATTCCCAAGGTCCTGCTAGATTCCCATGTTTTCTTCAGTATCCTCCTCCTTTGTTTGAAAACTAAATAAGGCCTGGGGAGATAGCTTGGTAGAATAAGTGCTTGTCTGGCAAGTTCAAGGGCCTGAGTTCAATCCCCAGTTCCACCAAAAAAAAAAAAAAAGAGAAAGAAAGAAAGAAAGAAAGAAAGAAAGAAAGAAAGAAAGAAAACCAAGTAAGTATGGGCTGCCCAGAGAAGTTTTGGGTCAGAACTCAGAGGGTCTCAAATTCTGTGAGAGGGTTTGGGTCTTCAGAGCCCTGAAATCGTATCATTTGTCTCACTGCTTTAAGCCTTCGCCATCCCCTCATTTGGGAGGTTGTGGGCCTGATCAGCTGAAGTAACTAAGGGGTCTCATTAATGCAACAGCAGTGGGCACTCACATGGGATGCACTGGCAGTGGTCGGTCATAAGCACTGTCCAGGCCCTGGGAACGTGGACTGCTCACAAATGCGGTCCAGCCCTGGGGACATAAGCCAGGGGCTGACTGTGTACGTGCCTGTTTCTCATGAGACCACTCAGGCGATCCAATCCCTTCTAGGAACCAAGGGTGAGGGGAGCACATGCCAAGTGGAGACAAGGACAGGAGGTGACAGGCAGTGTGGGGACACCCAGCCCGACCTCACATAGCACTTGATTGTGAGACATTGGCTCTGGTAAAGATGACATACAATGGCACCTGTGGGGATGGAGGGGCTTCTCCTGGGCCCTGGATGTGGGTGTGGCAGGACCCAGGACATTGCAGATTCAGGACCCTTTGGGAGGCAGGAGTCTCCCCAGCAGAGGCTGTCCATGTTACCAAGGGGCACCCTCTGGTAGACAGCCCAACTCCTGCCCTTTTGCGCAGACCACCAGCCAGAAGCTGAGAGGTGGGGCAGAAGCGAGGGTGATTACAGGGGAGGGTTGGAGTAACGTGGAGGTGGAACTCGGGCTTTCCGGGCACTTGTCACATTCTCGCCTCCTCCTACATGCTGGCAGTGAGCTAAAAACACCAGCAGCCTGTGCTGCTCAAGAGGGAACCCAGAGAGCCCGGCTGAGGGCTTCAGTATAGAAACGCAGGTCCCAAGTGCTTGGAGGGGTTGCTAAGCAAGGTGAAGGGAGAAACATCAGGGCAGGAAAGGAAGAGGTGCTCAGAAAGAGCTGTTTAATGAAATCTCTACTTCTAGCCTGAAGGTGGCCTGCACACCACACCCTACCTATTAAGAACTTGGTGCCCATTTCAGGGGGAACTGCAACCACTGCAATCAAGACCAAATCACCCGAGAACACGAAGGCACATGCCTGCACACATATGTATAAACACAAGCTGCACACTGCATACCTGCACACGTGTGTGCATGCATATGCGCACGCACATACACACACACACACAGAGCAACCAGCTCTGGCCCAGCCCTCCCACGGAGCACCAACTGCTCCAGCACTGGGGAGGATCTGTGAGCAGTCGCCCACCAGGAGTGAGGCGGGCCGTGTCACACTTACGGCTATTCGCAGGACTGATGCCTTCACGGAGGTCCATTTGTCCTGCCTCCGGTCGATGACCAGGATGAATCCGATACCAGCATCTTGCAGGCTGAAAGGAGGAGCGACGCCTACAGTTAGGGTGTGCAGAGACGCTCCCCACACCTGTGCCATTCTGCACGAAGAACACGCCTGCCAGGGCCGGGACAGCCCCACCCCATCACATCCAGGGGCTGCTGTCCTCTAAGGAGAGCAGAGCTCTTTGGGGTGCTGGTTACATTCAGCCTAAGACCAGCCACATCCACTGAGCCCAGCAGAGCCACCCTTCCCTGGAGCCAGGCATTTTGTCGGAGACAAAGAACGGGTCACTTCCTCCCCCTGTGGCTACATCACATCAGGCCAGCATCGCAGGTCCCCGTGTGCGTCCACATTAGGAGCCTGCTCCGGAGGCCATCGCCGTGAGCTTGGGCATGAACCCCCAGGCTCCCAGAGGCTCATACACATCCGTCAGGGTCCTGGAGTGGGCTCTCGCCCCATATAGCAGCAGCAGCAGCAGCATCTGAAGCAAAGCAACTGTGCCCCTGCGTTGTGTAACCACTCCGCGTTGCTGGCTCAGCCTGGCAGAGCCTGAGTCACAGTGTGGGTGCAGGAGGGAGGCTTCCGGCAGGCTTTCCCATGCAAGCCAATGGTGTGATGCCAGCAGCTGCCTCCACCAGCCAATGCGTGGCAGAAGCGAGGAGACAGCCCAGGACGATGCTGGCTGGCACTGCTAACTTCCAGATCTCTGAGCAGAGCTGAGTGGGCCATTTCTGGGTTACAGCGAAAATCGGAATTCTGCAGTGTTTGACATTACGCAGTCTGCAGTGCTGTGTGTGTCATGAGTGCTCCGCCTCTGATCTAAGGACGGGTCGGCCACACACAGAGTGTGCCTGTGTGCCCTCAGCAGTGCTCACACCACACCACACCACACCACACCACACCACACGGGCCGAGGGAAGCCAAGCACTTCCAGGTGAATGCACAAATAAACAGGGTGTTCACTTACAACAGCCCTTTGCTGTTGTTCATACCACATAAATTTCAGGCCCGCTTGCAGTGGGTGGCTGGCAGCCTAGTGAGGAGGACACAGAGAACTCCATGTCCACCAGGCCTGGCACTGGGGCACCTGGCTCCTCCCTGGCAGTCCTGAGCAGGGTTTTGCAGCAGCTGCCCTCATGCCTGCTGGCAGTGGACGTATCCAGCCTGCTGCCCAGTCCTGGCTATGCAATCCTCGACTCACCCGGGAGTCCAGACACTGCAGGGAAGAGGTGGCTGCCAGAGGGGCAAGTGCTTGCTGTGGCGGTGCCCAGCCAGGTCCTCCCTGGAGCAGCAACAAAGATCCAGTTGCTTGCCCAGCCGTGTGCAGCCACAGAAATGCTGGGCTTTGGAGGCAGCTTGGCTGATGGGACCCTGCCTCCTGTGTCCCTCCTTGGGGACGTGCTAGGCTGCCTTTGTGTCACCAAGCTGGCCCTGCCACTTCCCAGAGACAGAAGGGGGGCCTCGGGCCAACTGGCCCACAGAAGCACACTTTCACTAAACCAGGGGTACAAGTACCCCCTCAAGGCAGAACTGACCTGCAAGGCTTACTGGAAGCAGCTGCAGGAGGGGGTGCAAGGGCGGAGGGGAGACGTGGCCCCTCTGCAGTGACCACAGTTCTGGGGGCCCTGTGGTGGCCCCCGATGCAGTCGGCCCAAGTCACCTCCAAGTGCTCAGCAACATGGGCAATGACTGTGACTCTAGCTTGGGGCCACCAAGCCAGCAAGTGACCGAAGCTGCTGCCATTGCTGCTGCTGAGCTCCCTGCACAGAGCAGCGAAGCCTGACGCAGTTTCTCCCGCATATCTGAACAGAGCTTCAGCTGCAGTGGGCACCAGCCTCACACTCCAGCCTGTCCACACCCAAGACCCACCCCACCATCTCCCTCGCTGGCCCACATCTGCCCCCACTCCGGGCCTTGCTCTTGCTCTGTGGCCTTGGCCCAGCCCCTTGCCTGCATGGCCTCCACACTGGGCCACGTGGTCATCCCATGTCTTTGCCCAGCTTCCACGTGTGCCTGGCACCTAGTACCGTTTGCCATGCAGCCATCCCCTCCGAGGGCCTGACTGTGGCATTCACTTTCTCATACAGAAAACATTTGGGGTCACAGTCCCACAGCACAGCTATCCCCAACTCACGATGGCCACTGTACCACCAATGTCACAAAGCAGGCATCTGTTGCTCAGAGAAAAGCAGTTAACAAAAACAAATTTGAATGACATGGGGAACATAAGGAGTTAGAAGTTAACAGATGCTTCTGAAATGTGCACTAGGCGACAGCGCCTTGAGAAGGTGGCCTGTGTGGCCTAGCATGGCCAGCTCGGCGCAGGAAGGCTGCTCCAGCTACTTGGGCGGGGCTCCTCGTTCTAGGGGAGGGACCTCGGCTCCCTCAGACCTCATCCCCTCATCAGCAGGACAGGCTTTGTGGTGACCATGTGAGGCAGCACCTGATCCTGCAGGAGCAGCAAGCCTGAGTCGCTGGCCTCAGCTGCTCTGCAGGTGGCACTGAAGGAAATGGTGAGCAGGTGGTGAGAAGTGCCCTGCACTCGCAGCCCCGCCCACAGATGCCCACGTGGCCTCCCAAGTAGTGGCCTCAGCAAGGACACCCTGTCAGCTGCTCACAGCCGAGTCAGAGCAGCAAGTCCCTTTTGGCCCCAGTGAGCAAAGTGTAGCCTCCTATGGCCTATAGGTACAGTTGAGCAGAGCACAGAGCCTCTGGGCATGGGGCTGGGCCTCACCTTCCCCAGCGGGTCCTCCAACCCTCCCGGCCCAACTGTCTGGTGGCTGGCCCTGGGGCAGGGAGGGTTGGAGGACCCGCTAATCCTGGGCCAGCGTGAGGTGGGGCAGTAGGGGTGGAGCCTCTCAAGCCCTTTGCAGAAAAAGCGGGCAGCATGAGCCCCACACAGAGACCACTGTTACGGTCACTTTCCTCAATGTTGGGACATAGTTCTCAACACCCAGAGCTTAAACTTGGAGGGGCGGGCTGACTCCACACAGGGCAGCACGGCACACTGTTGTGGTGGAGGGGAGCTGCTCAGAGCATGGAGAACAGGAAGTGGGGAGCTGGGGCAGGCTCCGCCCAGGGCCCACCTCCTCAGCCAGCCTGCGCCTCCAACACCACAGTCAGCTCACTCAACAGGGCGAGCGTCATGTCTACAACCAGGCTCCTCTGGGTGAGGACCTCGAGGTAGAAAGTGCAACACCTTCCTAGGGGTCATCACCATTTGGCAAGCAGAGAAACTGAGGCACAGAGGCGTTAATCCTCCCGAACAAAAGCAAGAGGGGAGCACTGCACCCGAGTCCCTAGCCGCCACGGAGGAAGGAGGCGAGGGCGAGGGAATGGGCATTCTGTGGCAGGGGCACTGGAACAAAGGCTGGTGGCTGGCGAGAGACAGGCTGCATGATGGGCCACGTGGAGGGCAGGGGCAGGAGGTGACACCGACGGCAGGGGCGGCAACCTCCACGGCTGTAGGAAACACCTCTGCAGTTTGTTTCCACGAGACCCTGGGAAAGCCCGAGAGGTCTCACTTCCCTAGGATCCCTTCTCCCACAGGGACCTCCAGAGGACACGCCCAGTTCTAAGTGTGCAATGTAGTAGTGACAGGAAGAGCAAGACCGCAGGAGTGCAGGGCCTTCCAGAAGGCCCCCAGACACACTGATGACAGCTCTGCTGCAGCACCCCTGCCGGGGGCACGCGGCAGTCCTGCCGAGGAGGCCCAGGCCTGCTGTGGGTGTGGGGCAGTGTGCGCAGATCTAACCCAGGGCAGCTGTCACAGGATGGGGGCCATCGCCAGAGTGCCCAGCTTCTGAGGCATCCAGCCAGCTACCGCGGACTCAGGCTCTACGCTTGCAGTGGCTGTCACCCAAGGCCTAGAGGGCCAGGATCAGCAAGCAAAGGCCTTCAGAGGTCCCTGTAGTCCTGTCAAGGCAGCCACCTCCTGTGGCCCTTGGGTGGACTGCCAGGAGCAGTGGACAATGGGCCACGAAGCTCTGCGTCTCACACTGCCCCTGGGTCAGTGTCCCCAGCCCAGCAGTCTCTGCTGGCCTGTCCTACTCCATGGCCCTAAGGGCCAGGAAACGTGGTATGACAGTGGTGGGCGCTAGCGTGGAGGACATGGCCACCAGTGCTTGAAGCAAGGAACAAGAAGACAGTTCTCCATAAATGATTGTCCTAAATCTGTGGATCCAGACTAGCAGCCTCTGTCCCCTATCCTTGGCCTCACGGACTGTCCTCACCCCAAGGATAGCCTCTCAGAGCATTCATCAAGGCCCTGGCCACAGATTACTGGCCTGGACCACACATCCCTCCGCCTGTGCAGTGAGACGTGTTGCTCACTGGTGTCCAGAAGATGAAGGCCAGAGCTGCTGCCTCCCCTGGGCAGCCACCCCTGCAGGGTGCCCACTGCTGCCCTCACCACAGAGTCCCAGGGCTCCCCACCTCACTCCCAGCTGACCCCAGCCAGGACTTGTAACTGTGGCCCCCCTTGGTTGCCGGCAGCACCCAGGGCATCAGTTACCAGGCTGGCTCCCCTGCCTGCACCACGTGCTTCCTTCATAGCAGAAGGCCACGGTGTCCACGGGCGATGGCCACCACCTCCTGATCTCCTGCAGGGAAGGACTCAGAGGCTCAAGGCCCACCTCATCCTTAAATGAGGGTGTGGCAGCCGTAGATGTGACCAGGTCATAGACCGATACTACCCAACCGTGAGCTGAAATAAGGCCAGTGGTGCCAACACCAGCCCACAGGAGACCCCGTGCCTCTCCCCACCAGCTCAGCCAGACTGCACCATGACCTCCTGCTGCGGACCCCAGCCATGGCCCCTGCAGAGTCTCTGCACCCACACCCACCTCAGGTCGGGGGTGCCTGGCTCCCAGCTCCAGAACAAAGGGCTCTTCACAAGGGTTCCAAGGCCCTCTTCCCAGACTGGGAGCCGGATGCCCTGCTGGCTCTTGGCGGACCCTGAGCAGCCAGCCAGTCCAAGGCTCTGTAATGCACGGCCCCAGGACTGTGTGTCATGCTCCCGGGCCTCCAGGCTGGCCCCCACCCTCCTCCCTGTGAAGACCCCTTGTCGAGGGCTGCTCTAGCTCTTGTACCTGACCTACTGCCCTCCCACAGTGCCCTGCTCTGCGAGCCACAGGATTGCGTGCCCACACAGCTTCTGCAGGGAGCACAACCACGGTTTCCCGTGCCCCCTTGTGCTCAGGACCCTGGGGCTCATCCCAGGCTATCGTGAGAAAGGAAGAACAGACCCCTCTGAGGAGAACAGGACTGCGGAGCCGCCCCTTCCAGGGCTGGACGTTTAAGACTTGCAGGGGTTGTAGATTCTGGAAAGCAGATTCAGCTCCAGGAAAAGAGAGCTCTGAGCCCTCATGCCAGGGTGCCACCGCTCCAGCCATGCCCCAGACATCCACTCACACATCCCTCATCCATGGCCAGAGGGACGGCGTCCACTCTTGCACATGTCTCAGATGTGTGCGCAGGCCGTCTCCCTCAGTCCAATACCTCACCACGGCCATCAGTACCGGCCAGGCTGAACTGGACACCTGTGTCTGCTTCCACAGGAGGAGAGTTAATACCCAGAAGCAGAATTCTTTTAAACATGCCAGAAACAATCCTTGGTTGTGGAAGGGACAGCTACTATCTTTAAAGGTGATTGTCAGTGACAGAATAGCCTCACCCTGCGACCCACTGAACTCTGGGGGTCGGGGCAGCCTCCCACAATGCCTGACACCCAGCCGGAGCACACACCTGGGGATGCTCGTGAGATAGGTCATGACATTCTGGAACTCCTTGTCTGGGACCTCGCTGAAGGCAGGGTAGTCAGGGAAAGTGATGACTGGGCTTCCGTCCTGCCCCCGTCCACCTGGAGAGACAAAGCAGACCTTAGCGGGGTCCCTGTCCTCCTGCTCCCTGACAACAGCCCCTGCTATCCCCAGGCCCCAAGGTTGCATATGCAGTAAGGAGGTTCTTTGTTGCTGTGGAGTTTTGGTTTGTTTTTTGTGAAGCACAGGGGATTGAACCCAGGCCCTTCACACTGAACAACATCCCTGCCCCTTTCATTATTTTTATTGTGAGACAGGGTCTCTACATTCTCCAGGTTGGCCTCAAACTTCCCATCTTCCTTAGCTTCGAAGGATTATGAGATTCCAGGCCTGCACACCCCACCTGGCTTGTATTTTCACTATGAAAAAATGTATGCATGCTGAAGAAAAATGTCAGGGTCCTGAGAAGGGATGTTGAATAGCTGCCTGTTGCTCCTGCCGGAGGCTGCCCTGTTTCTCCACTCCTTCCCTCCCCTCTTCTGTGCTCTTTCCCATGCTAGGACAAGTCTGGATGGACAGACAGCCTTGCATCCTGCATCAGCCCCAGTTCTGGGAAGTCTGCAGGGACCCTGGCTCGGGGGCGATGTGACCTTACTCCTGTGCTGCATGGTATCCATGCTGGCAGCGGCCCGACCAGGCTATGACAGGCGCTCCAGCAGGATGGCAGGCCGGGCACACACACATGTACACACGTGTTCACACATATCCACACCCACACCCACATCCAGGAGACTACAATGCAACAGGCCAGGTGAGAGTGTCCCCACTCTTGGGCCCTTCCTGCTCCCGCAGGGATAGCAGATGTCAGCTCTCTGTGGCCCTATTTCTGCTGTGGGAGCAGCCAGGTGACCCCTGACCTTCGGGGAGTGGGGCAGAGAACTCTCGTGGTGTGAAGCCTTTTCCTCAAAGCTCACTCTGCTGGGAGTCCAGTCCCCACCAGCTCTGCAGCTTAGGCCAGGCCCACCTGGGCTAGTGCTGCTTGGGCCCCTGGCACTTGGGTGAGTCTCTCGGCTTCCTGCTGGACTCAGCCCCCAGTATGAAGGCCTGAGGGTGGAGGCTTGACCCAATTGTGGTGTACAGATTTCCTGGGGCAGCCAGGGTTAGATAAGGCCACAGGGGCCCTCAGTTGAGCTGGCATCTTCATAAGTAGAGAGAGAGCAGAGGACAGGCAGACATGCACACTCTGTCCCTCCCACGATGCCCACACCCCACACACATAGGCACTGGGGTCCCGGTCACGCCAGAGATCCACCGCCCCAGACTCTGCCGGCAGGATTGTCATCACGGGACCTGACCCTCAGCCCTGGGTCTCCAGTACCAGCCAACCTCTTCCTTGGGGCAGCGTGCTGTCCAGAGCAACAGGAAATGCTGAGCCCCTGCCCTCCCCTCCCCCAAGTGTGAAGGCCATCTGGCCACTGCTGTCCAGAGCAGCTGGGCAGCCCTGAGCAGCTGGCCCAGAGCACAGGCCACAGCCGCTTCCAGACCCTGGCTGGGCCCCGAACTCACCAGACAGGTAGGCAAAGCGCTTCTTCAGCTGCTCCTGGATGTCGGCGGCACAGAGCGGGACAAGGTCCTGGTGCATGATCTCATCTAGGGAAGAGAGACATGGCCATGGTCATGGTCACTGGGGAGGAGGCTGGCCGCACTCTGCCACAGCATTGCCCCCAGGAGGCTGGCCGCACTCTGCCACAGCATCGCCCCCAGGAGGCTGGCCGCACTCTGCCACAGCATCGCCCCCAGCAGGGGGCACCCCTGTTTCTCAGCACAGGGACTGGGGGCTGGGGCACCCATATTTAAAATTCATGTGAGAAATGGAGGGAGCGAGCAGAGGGACAGGGAGAAAGAGGGAGAAGGGAGAAAAGAGGAACAAGGGAGAGGAGAAAGACCGGGAGAGGGCGACAGATGGACACAGCAGAGCAGGGGAGAGCAGGGCTCTCACAGGATGAACAGACACGACGTTGTCATCCCCACCGCTCCCGAGGCCTAGAGCGATTCCACTCACCCTGCTGCTGGTCACCACATAGGCCCATGTCCCCCACACATAGGCAGCCCAGTCTCCATAGCAACAGGTGGCCCAGGTCCTGGTCACCACAGTGACCCATGTCCCTACATGTGTAGGCACCAGGGTCCTGGTCACCCAGGTACCCACATCCCCCTACACACATTATTTCCTGGGCAGGCAAGGCAGCAGCAGGCTTGACCTAACCGCAGCAGTGCAGGCAGGTGGCTCCTGCTACTTGTCTCTCACCAGCTCTAGACCCAGAGTTGCGATGGGCAATGGCACATGTAGCTGTGCTGGGACGGTGCCCACAGGGTCCCTGCCACAGGCTGGGGTCTGGACGTGGCATATAACTGCAGGCCCCTGTGCCTGCAGCCATGGTGAGGGTGGGCTCCATCTCCTGCAGGGTCCGAGCCCTGGCCAATCTCATGTCTTGCTCAGCAGCAGCCAGTCCTGGATACGGCCGAGGGCTCTGCCATGCAGGATGACTCAGTCTGATGCCTTAGAAGAGGTTTTGGGGTCAGCCTGGCTAGGGTGCTGCTCAGGGCTGAGTGCTTGCCTGGTGTGCACTAGGCTCTGGGGTCCATCTCAGATGGACCCTCAGAAAATCAAATACATAAATAAAAATTTTAAAATAAGAATTTTTTAAATGTCCAATTCCCCACTTGGAAGACTAGGCTGCAGACAGCGGAAAATGTGGGTCATAGAGACTTCACTGCTGGAAAAGTGCCAGAGGAGGCAGATAGGATCTATGCTGCCTTGGCCTCGAATCCTGCTCTTCCAGTCCTGCAAATGAGGCCGAGGCCCACAGGAGCCACATCGAGACCCATGCACCCACCCCTGGACCTGCTGTGGCCGAGGCCCAGGGAGCACACTCGCTGTTCACCCGACCAAGAAGTTGGCGTGGCATTCTTGAGAGCTGCTCGACTCTCCTGCCCATCCCAGTAGCGGCTGCCCGTGCGGGGGACACAGGGCCTGAATCAGTTGCTCTACCAAAGCCCAGAAGGACAGCGAGCGACTTGTGGCCCACAAGCTCCACATCGTGTGGGGTGCACATGAAGGGCTACTGGTCTGTCCCAACTGGGTGTACAAATTCTATAGAGGTTCCGTCTCCCGGCAGGAACCCCAGGGCCCCCCCTACCCCGGTTGAACCTAGGAGCAGGTCCCCGAAAACTCATGGGCTAAGTCCTCAGACTCAGGCCATTGGGAATTCTGTGGGTGCTGTGGGCCAGCAAGTCCTATGCAGCTCGGGACAGTGGTCAGCCATCAAGGACCAGTCCTGAGCCACTGGGCAGACCAAGGCTCACGAGGACCTGAATACAGCCCAGACCTCACCTGACCTGACCTCAGATGGTACCTGCCTTAGTGTGTGCAGGCCTGACATGGACACCCTTCTGTTGGCTCTGAGGCACCTTGGGGGGGCACGTGGCCTCTGAGGAGCACGTCTGGCTTCCTGGGTGCATCCTGGACCTCACAGCATCTGCCCTGCTGTGCTGTCACCTGCTGGCAGCTGTCTCTCAAGGATGGGGACAGGCAGACACAGGGCGGAGTCCCCAACGCTGTGGTCAAGAGTTCCTCTGCCCAGCACAGCCAGCCTGGCCCTGGTGGCCTTGCCTGGGCAGTCTCCTCCTGCAGGCAGCCTCACCTTCTCAGCTCCCAGAAGAGCTCCCAGTACACTCACCCTGCAGAAGGCAGGTGTCTGTCCTGGTCTGCTGCAGCGGCAGTGCCCGAGCCAGGCGTGTCCTCCCCTCCACCCCTACAAGTAAGGACCACGCACATCCTGCAGTCAGTGTCCGGGCCTCAAGCTGACGACTAGGTGTGTCTTGGCCTACACCGGAACCTCAGGTTCTGCTGCTCCAGGGCGAGGGCTACAGGCCTTCCATTTTACCTGTGCCCTTTCACCATTCCTGCTCTTCATGCCCATGGGTGACAGCAGTCCTTACAGGACAGGAAAGTTTCAGTGCCCTCTAGTCTTTAATATGTAGACCTGAGGCTACAAGACCAGTAGGAAGGTGCCTGGGCTTCCCATGCAGATGTCCGGGGCAGGAAGTGGTCACCACCCTCCACTGGCAGGCACTGACAGACTACCATCAAGGCTGCAGCCGGGACCCTCAGAGCCAGCGAAGTCCCAGGCAGGGGCAGGGAGGAGAGCAGAGCTCAGGTCTCCACTTCCTGCCCTTCCCTCATGCAGGGAGCTGGGGTCAAGCCTGCCCCTGCCCTGTGTGGCCTCCCGGGCAGGAGGAGAGGTGCTGGGTTGCTTCAGACCAACAGCCCGGGCTGCCGGCCTGCCGCTGCCATGAGCCCAGGGCTGCCTGTGTCTCAGTGCTGCGCACAGAGCTTTCTGGGTCGTGGAGCTCACTGCCGGTCTGCTGAACCTGAGGACCCGCTTTACTTCTCCCACCCAAAAGAAAGGGGGCTGGGAAGAGGGCGTCTCGGGCCATACAATAGCCCACTATTCGCTAATTGCCTCCACTTGCCTCTTTCCGGTGCCCAAGGGCCTTTGCTGCTGTCAGTCAAAGGTAACAGTTGGGTCTATTCAGAGTCAGGGCGGAGGGTCACCCGGGATGACGTCATGTCCTCCCACAGGACACCTGCTCCATCAAGCCCACTGACTGTCCACTGAGGAAGGGCGTCCAGGGAAGGAGACCTGGACAAGGATGGTGGTGAGGAGAAGGGAGTTGAACACGGCAAGGTTCAGCTCTAGGGCTGCAGGCTCCAGCAGGGCTGCCACACCACAGTGCCATGTGCCCCTCACTTGTGGGACACGAGGGGCATTCACACACTCGTTGCCAGGCATGCTGAGGACGCCTAAGCAGAGGCCTCCCTGCCTGAATCCCAAGCCGCTTGGCATTCTCGCTCCTTCCGAAATGCTGAGGAGCATTTCCAGTCATGAACGCCCCGAGTCACTCATGTCTCCCTACCCTGATCCTGATGGAGTCCAGAGCCACATCCCTGTGGGAAGGAGGATGGCACCCGAGCATGGGCACTGCGGCTGGTGGCACCCAGGCTCCAGCACCCACCCCAGGCAGCACTTCTACAGTGCAGCCTCTCACGCACGAGGGGACACATGGCACACACAGAGCTGAGGGCGGGCGTGGGTAGCCAGCTGGGGAGGAGCCCGCCTGGCGGGAGGACGTCCTCATGGCACCCTTTCCTTAGTAGCTGCTGTTTAGGCCAGAACCGGGCCACCACGGTGTGAGGGCAGCCACCGCTCCCACCTGGGCCTGACGCGCAGCCCGACTTACGGATGGCCACCGGGCCCCGTGCTTGGCTCTGACGAGGGGCCCGGTGGGAGATGGGTGACCCCGTGAGCAAGGCGGGAGTCCTCAGCCTGGTCCTGCACTGCTGGGGCCGCCCTGGTGGTGAGGGCCAGAGCCCACCTTGTCACTCAGCCTGTCCTTCCCCGGCCCGCACAGGAGCAGCCCCACCAGACCCCAGCCTCCTTGCTCCGCTGTTCTTGCCCATGCCGGCTGAGCTAGCCCCTCTGCAGGACAAGCCCCACTCAGCTACCATCAGCGCAGGGGTAGCAGGTGTGCCACCAGGGTTTTGCGGGACACGGACAGAGGGCTAGAGACGTGGCGGGGTGGACCTCTCCTGGGTTTAGGGGTTCACATGGGTGCTGTCCAGGGGTCCAGCTGGCCCTGCCACTGGCCTGCTCAGCTGCCCCTTGTGCAGTGAACACCCTCAGTAGCTGTGCGTGGCGCCCTCCCTGCATGGTGTCGGGCGCCGGCCCAGGTGGGGGTGTGCAGCCAGCAGGGCAGTGCTGGTACCTGTGGCTGGGACTGGGGTCAGCAGGCCAGCTGAGCACCACGCTGCAGGAGAGCAGGAGCCCGGCCACCCCAAGAGCACGAGCTCCTCATCCCCCCACCCCCGGGGCAGCTCTCAGGCACCTCTCTGCTCTCAAAACTCACACAGCACTCGTGGTTAGCATGCTTATCGCGTCTGAAGTTGGACCCGAGACATGCTGGGACGCTAACTTACATAAGAGGTAGCCTTTCTTCTTTTTCCTTTCTGTTCTGGTGCTACTAAGGAATTAACCCAGGGCCTCTGCCTTGCCTTTTATCCCCAGCCTTTTGTGTTCTTTATTTTGTGGTGTCTCCCAGGTGCACCCAGTGCTTGGAGGTGACACAGGGGATGCCTCTTCATGGCTGGGAAGTCAATTTGGCATCAGGAGGTCCCCAAGAGCATGGGATGGGCTGATGCTTTAGAAAAACAAAACCCAGAGCTGAGGATATAGTTCAGCAGCTTAAGTGCTTGCCTGGTAAGCACAAGGTCCTGAGTTCCAGCCCCAGTACAGGAGAGAGAGGGAGGGAGAGACAGAGGGAGAGAGAGGGAGGGAGGGAGAGGAAAGGAGGGGGAGAGAGAGAGGGAGGGAAAGAGGGGAGGGAGAGGGAGAGAGAGGGAGGGAGAGACAGGAAGAGACAGAGGGAGAGA